ATCTAGAGTGTCCCACCACTTGGGTAAGACCTCTGCCTCCCGCAGCCCCTCCCCCACCTCCCTGTCTCAGAAGAGCCACGTTCCCTAGGATCCTCCAGCTGCTGGCTCCTCCTCCCCCAGCAGCCTCCAGAAGCAGAGCTGCCTGTACCCCAGGACCAGGCTTCAGATAAGCCAGGTGGTGCCTGGCGCGGGCTTTCTCTGGTAGGCTGGGGCATAAAGCATCCTGAGACTTGAGCTGGGGTAGGCGGGCCTCTCACTAGAATCAAGGAGGCTGGCCCTGGGCAGCGCCTAGACTTTGAGTCCAGAGGACGCAGCCAATACTGACTCACCTGGGCCTGGGGTACGGTGGGTGAGCAACTCCCTGGCAAGGGCCCAATCCTGGAAGTCAGGCTGGGTCCAGGACCCTAGCAGCTGGGCCAAGGAAGGGAGTCCAGCTGCTACAGAAGGAGACAGTGGGAAAGGTGGACCCAGAGCATGTTTGAGCTGCTTAGAATTCAGGGCTGGCTGGACAGGCTGCTTATGTGTCCTGAATCGAGCCTTCATGACTTGTAGGCATTCCCTCCTCTCCATCACCACCACATTGTGTCTTCTCCTCTCTGGACCACTGAATGGGCTCCTCACTGCTCAGCTTGCCCAGCTTCTCCATAATGCGCTGTGGCCTTGGAGCAATGATGAAGTCACGTCCACTTCCTCTCCTGCTGGTATCACTACCCTCTTCCTTTGTTCTTCTCTCCTGCTCTGTCCCCGTTTATCCCACAACTTCCTTTATTGTGCCATGCCAAGCCCAGGGGACCCCCAGAAGGAACGAGGAGTCTTAGCTTGGAGAACAGGAGAGCATGATGACATTCTTTCATTACTTCATTCACTCATGCGTTCCCTTGTTCTTTTCCATTCAATTACTCACTCCCTAATTCTCTAGACACTTACTGAGCATCTACTATGTTCAAGAACTTGAGTATTTGGTGGGAGGGAGGCAGGATACTCTGATGAATCACTACTTTCCTTTCTGCCAACTTGTTCAAGGTCAAGAAGGAGAAATGAGCACAAATCAAAAGAGACAAAGGGCTGTGAAGTGTGGCTCTGTGTTTATGTGTGAGAAGTGAGGGTACAGAGGAGGAGGATGTCATTTCCACTTATGAGGGGCCCAGAAGACTTCCTGGAGGTGGTGCCATTTGAGCCCAGCTTCGATGGGAGGGTTTAGATGTTGAGTTATCAGAGGGCATCAGGGTGGATGGAACACTAGGAACAGAGGAAAGCTCAAATGCGTAAGGGAACAGTGGGATGCTCTGTTCATGGCTTGAGAGGATTAAAAGAAATACGTCTGGACAAGGAGACTAGGGCCAGCAGAGGACAGGCCATGTGCTCCCACATCTCTGCCAGCTGTCATGGGACAGGGGAGCAGCCTTATTCTGGGTGACTCAGAACCTTGGTCATGAGGTAATGGAAATATCCTTGTGGATATGAGAGCTCTTTAATTTTATAGGCAGTCTTAGATGGAGTGAGATTTTCAGTCTTGGAGGTGTGTGTGTGGAGGCTGGGATACTAGGCATGTGTGTGGAGTGGGGAGAGCTGTGGGTTCTGGCCCCCGGTGGGTTTTCTCTAGGACAGGGAGGAAAGTAGGAGTTTGAGTGGATGATGTCAGAGGTTGCCTCTCACCTAGAGTCTGTTGTCCTACCTGGGAAGGCTAAAAGGTCCAGCAGAGGGAATTCCTGGGAGTTTGGCTATTTATTCACTCATTCATTCCCTCTTTGCCCCTCCACCCATTCATTCTTTCATTCGTTCATTCATTCATTCATTCGCTCATCACTTGGTCACTAAACCCTTGCTCTGAGCAGATCCCGTGCTGAGGACTCAGGTAATACAGATGAGGTCCCTGCCTATGTGAGTTTCCAGTCTGATAGGGGAGCAGACCCATGCCTGACAGTGACAGCCCAGTATCACTGTGGAATAGGAGTGGAGATTGTTTCATTGTGTTTTGTTGCTGACTTTGGTGGTAGAGCTGGGACATGGACCTGAAAAATTAATAGAGATATTTGTCCTCCAGCCAGGAAGGCCCCATTGGTGGGTCCAGATGAAAGATGTAATGTGGAAAAAGAAGTGTTTGTGGGAGAAAGTACTCTGGGTTCATGGGGCCTAAATGAGGCAAGTTTCCTCCATGGACCATTCGAGGCCACCACAAGCTCATCCCTCGCCAGGAAGAAGTCCACTGGATTTGGGAACCTCTAGAGAATTCCTTGGTCAATATAAGCTGTAAGCAGGTTGTGTAGAGTGGTAGTTGAACTTGTGGGCTCCGGACCTGTATCAGGGTACAAGTCCTGCTGCTAACGTATCAACTGTGTGACTTTGGACAAATGATGCTTTGCCTCTGTTCTTTCCTCTGCAGGGGAATAATCATCATAGTACTTTCTTCTTAGGGTGAGGCCCAGAGATGGCAACAAACCAGAAGTGCTTGCACAGGGCTGGGCATGTGAGGAGGGCTATAATGAAGGGCTAAAATGACAATGATGATGACGACGGTGATTATAATGATGATAGTATTTACCATCAAGTGCTGCCTTTAAAAGCTCTGGGCCTCATTCTGTCCAGTTCAAAATCGGAGGACTGACTAGCTCACTGGTTCTCAAAGTGTGGTCCCTGGACCAGCGGCAACAGCATCACTTGGGATCTTGTTAGACATGCAAATTCGTGGGCTCTACCACAGCTCTGCTGGAGATGGAGCTGGAAATCTATATTTTCATAAGCACCCTGGGTGATTCTGATGCAGGGTGAAGTTTGAGAACTGTTAATCTAGCTATTACTTAAAGCCTTACTCGCCTTTCCAGGACTATGATTTATCAGTTGTGTTTCATGCCTTCTGCATTTAGGGCCCTGGTCTGGAGGCTGCTGGGAGAGGCACAGAGATGAGTAAGATGTGGTCTCAGCTGTAAGGGGGCTCCCAGGTGAGTTGAAAAGGGGAGACAGACACTATTCATTGGAGTAACAGACTGAACAGAGCTACTAAAGAGATGCAAGAGTCTGTTATGTAATAAGTAGCATAGGGGAGGGAGACCTTTGTGGGCTGGAGGGGTCTCTGCAGAAAAACCTGGTTCCTGTTAGTATATTGATTCAGCCTTGCTGGAAGTCCTCTTATAAGTCTAACTGAAGTCTTTCATGTTTTATGCCTTGTTGTGGGGGCAGGCAGAATGGACAGGGCTCTAGACTTGAGGTCGGGGTGGTCATTCTAGACAGCTTCCTTGATATATGATTTTGGTTGGCTCACTTTTCATCCCTGGGCCTCAATGTGTCCATTGATAGGATGAAGGGACTGAACTGAGTCCAGAGAGTCTGAGTCCAGACATCTCTGGAGAGAGGGAATGGTTGGGGACCAGAAGCTCTCTGTGTTTCCATCTGTCATCTGCATTGTGAGGACCCTGAAATTGTCCTGACTGCCTGCCTTACCCAGTGCGATTGGGGATTCAGTGAGATAAGCTGTTCCCTCTCTGGGCTGGTTTCCTTGCCCATCCAGAAAAGTCTCATGACACCTGTCCTCTTCACCTCACATGACTTTTATCATGTCAAGCATGTTCTTCAACCTCAGAGGCTCTTGATGTCTAAACCTAGTTGCCCAGCATTCAAGGTACTCCATGATATTCCTAGCTTTCTCCTGCAAGAAGAGGATCTGTGCACTTCCTAGGAATGCATCCTGTTTTGTTCCCATTAGGCCTCCTACCTCACCTCTCTTCTTAGCCTATCCAAACTCGTTCAGTCTTCAGTCCAGCTCTAACACTACCTCCTCCAGGAAGCCTCCCAGATTGCCCCAACCCTCAATGCCATCCTTGGACCATCTTGCCATCTTTAAGTTGTGACTTTAATTTTTTATTTGTAGACAATGAACTGCCAACAGACCATAAACTCCTTGAAAGGAAGGCCTGAGCTTATAGTGATGAATGTGAGTCCTTGACACCTAGAACAGGGAGGCCCAGAGAGAGGAGGGAACTTACCCAAAGTTACACAGCACATTAGTGTAAGAATCAGGCCCAGAACTCAGGTGTCTTAGGCACAGGGAGAGATGTTATTAGTGATGTGATGAGTGAACTAGAGGTAGTGTGGGGCAGAGGAAAGGTCAGAGCCTCAGAATTGGGCTGACTTCTGTTCCAGCACAACTCTGCACTCAATAGCTGTGCCACCTGGGGCACCTCACCTACCCTCCCCACGCATCCGTCAGGTGAGTTGGAATGAGGAGATGGTGAGGCCTGGCACGCAGTAGGTGCTGGGTTATTGTGAGAAGCTCATTATTATTCCCGACCACTTGTCCATCCCGCCTCCTCTGCCTGGATTCTGCTCCCCCTCCCACTTCTTCCCTTAACCACCAAGCACTTGATTTTATTGCCCTGTCATGAGAAGTCCAATGTGAGTGTCAAGGCCACTTCACGAAGCCTCTTGCAGAAGTGAGAGGGAGAAGGGGAAATCCTGGTGGTCGTTTAGTCAGTGGTGGCTACAGAGGGGCTGGGGTAAGTGCTCAGGAGGCTGAACTCTGTGGAGTCAATGGGTGGAATTTGACAGGTGCAACTTTTAGAAAAGTCACACTGCCTATTTTAAGGAAGTGAGGGGGTGTGCCCTGGCCCTGGCCAGTAGCTGCTGGATTCCGGCAGCCTGGAGAGGTGGGGCGCGTGGCAGGCGGGCAGCACTCCCAAGGGTGAAGAGTCCTAGCAGGTGGGTCTGGTATCTCTCTGGAGGCTGCTGGCAGCTCCCTGGCCTCCTGCCACTTTCTGGCCTGACCCCTTACGGACAGATGGAACCTTGGTGCCTGTTTTGCCCGTCTCACTGGCTGAGGCTGGGGATCTGGAGCCTCCTGGCCCTGGGAGCGAGCCCAGAGCCAGAAATCCCATGAGGAGGATGTCAGGGGCTGGAAGTGGAGGTGGCCAAGTTTGGCTGTGGCTGGAGGCGAAGCGAGTGTCGAGCTAGTGCCCAGTGGGCAGGCGCAGGGCCCTCTGACGTGGCGGTGGCCCAGCTGACATCCTCCCTCCTTCCTCTGCACCCGGCGGCGGGCACCGGAGGCTCTGTGCGGGCTCTAGCGGGAGGGGGCCGCGGGCAGTCTGAGGGAAGGCCGGACTTGGTGATAACGGCTGGGCTCAGGAGGGGCGGGGGCTGGGGAGGAGGAGCGGGAGGAGAGGCCGACCGGCTTTATTTGGAGCCAGAGCCGGGTTGTCGCTCAGGTGACCAGTGTCTCTTCAAGGAGTGTGCGACCAGCTAGCGGGGGCTCGGCAGCAATGATCCAGAATGTCGGAAATCACCTGCGAAGGGTATGGAGGGTGGGCTGGGGACGGGTGGAGGCAAAGGGGAGGGGACTGGAGGCTGGGGATCCTGAAAGAGAATCGAAGTTTCCATTTTAAGTCAGAAGTTCTGCATCGTCTCTCTCACTTTCCAAGGGCCATTTTGTAGCTGTCTATGCGAGGAGAAATTGCAGAACTCCTGGGCTGGTTTGTTATAAACAACAAGCCCCAAACAAGCCCCAGGGGCCGCTCGCTCTCTGGAGGGCTGGCTGTGTGGAGTGGAATCGTCTGGAATTCTATTCTAGGGGTGTGTGTCTCTCCCTATGGAGTTCTGTGCCGGTTTCCGCCGGACGGCAGAGCTCTGGGACTCTATGGTGTTTAACTCTCAGATTTTGGTGCTCAAAGGCCACAGAGCTGCCAGACGTCACAGGCTAGGGGTGTATGTGCAAATGAGAGAGTGTGACAAGGTGAAGCCAGGGTTCTCGGGGACAGTAACCTCTTTGGGAGAACACATGCAGGACTAAGTGACCTCGCAGAGAACGTTTCCCTGGAACCTTTTAACTGGGACTTTGGAGCTGCGATTAGATGCTGAGGTACCACATAGACTCAGTGCTCAGTAGTTCCTGGTGGGGACCTTTGATCTTATGAATGGAGAGGGTTCAGGACAGACTGGTAGACGTGCTGATGTAGAGTGAGTGTCCTCTAAAGACATGTTTGGGAAAAGCCTTTTAAAAGGGGTAGAGGCAAATAAAGACATCTCTTTTCCACCCTCCCTCCATCTGCATGCCCACCACTCAGCCCAGACCTCATCATCCTTCCCTGGCCCAGAGCACCTTCCCCTCCCCGCTTCCTCATCCCACGTCCACCCTGCTCCCACGCACCCTCTGCTGGAGGGATGCTTCTAAGAGACAAATGGGATTGTTCCTCACCTGCTCAGATGGCGGCCTTCAGGCTTGGTGCCAGGGTGCTCAGTCCTTGCACACTGAGCTCAGCAACCCGGGGAAGCACATCATCACAGTTCCTCTCCTCTGTATGGCCACTGCCCTGAAGGTCCCTACAGCCTTCCCATCCACCCCTCACAATAGGGAGGGAGCTGCTGACAAGGCACAGAGAAATGAGAGGATATGCCTGGGCTTGTACCACTTGCGAGAGACTCAGAACCCCTACCTGCTAGTTTGGGATCCCTTTTTCAGCCCGTGTCTTGGCCACTCAGAAAGTGGCTTCGCTCTCACACCTGAACTCACCCCATCCCAGCCTCCCCAGCCTTCACACACTGCACTGCAGATTCAGCACTGACCACCTTCCTCCACCTCATGTGCACCAGGGTCTAAGGGAGTCTACATCACTGCCTTTCACCTGTGCCTGGTCTAGGTGGGGCCACGCTGGCATCCCAGTGTGTCTGGACGGCTGCTCACCCACTCTGCTGGGCAGTGGTCAGAGTATAGGAAAATGCCTTAGAGACACTAACTCACCACCCCTGTAGACCTCAGTTTCCTCATCTGTGAACTAGGTCTGTTCCTGCAGATCTTGCTAGATTTTTGGCAAGAGTAAAGACTTTGGAGGAATGTAGAACTTGGCACATAATTGACTACAGTAAATATTGTTTCTTTTTCTTCATCTCACCTGGACTTCAGTTTCCTCAGTGGGTCAATGACAGGGTCAGTTGGTGGGATGAGGTGGTAAAAGCTAGCTTCTTGTTGAGCACCTACTAAGTGTGAGGCATATTTAAACTTCCCACCAGCTTTGCAAGGCTGCTGGTATTCATCTAGCTGTACAGCTAAGAAAACCAAGGCTCTGGTGTTGAGTCACTTTAAGCTAGTTAGAGAATTCGAAGTCTTATCTGACTGTAAGCTGCAGCTGGGCTGGGGCCCTGGTGTTGTGGCACTTCTCCTCGTCCTGGGCTGACCTGACTGAACTGAGGAACTGACACCTCTGCCTTGTGCCTGCTCCGCCCTATGGCTCCAGGGACAGATGGTGCTGCCCACTAGGTCCTCTGCCAGCTCCCTGGCTGCAGGCCTGCGTGCTCCTGCCATTCTCAGAAGCAGCCTACTTGTGGGTAGGAGGTGGCATCAAGGCTGTGGGAAAGGACCAGAGTCCTGCGTTTTAGGGACACAGGGATGAGTCAGACTGGACCTGTCCTCAGGTGCCCCCAGGCTGATGGGGAGACAGAGGAAGGTACAAAACGACAAAGACTGCACAGTGTGGCCAGGCTGTGACAGAGGGAAGCCCAGAGGTCTTCCTCACAGTCTACAGAACAGGAGGAGGTGCTGGGTTGGCTTGCCTTGAAAACTTTCCCAGGTTAGGAAGCATGGGCCAGGCAGAGGCATCTGTGTGTGAGATGTGGGAAAAAGCCCTTTCCACAAGGAACAGGGAGAGAATTTGCCAGTGACCCCTCAAGGAATCCCTCTCTGGCCCCCATGCCCATGTAATATGTATATCCTGCCTGGGGCTTCTTCAGTAGTAGTAACTTGCTCTTAACAAGTCAGACATGAGTTACATAATGTCAGCAGACATTAAGTGTTAAGCATCTCTTTTGGAGAGGAAACTTAGTGAGTGAGTAGAAAGGGTTTTGGTAGCGAGAAAAGCAAAATCCCAGCTGCACCATCCCAAGCAGCCTGCCCTCGGGTGAGTCCTTCAGAGCGCCTTGGCCTCAGTTCCCTTTTCTGTGCAAGAGGGATAGTTGCACCAAAACCTTGTGAGGGTTAAATGATATTATGAATACAAAGTCATTAAGTAATGTATATATAGGCCTGGAACATAGTGGGTGCTCAAAAAATATGGTGGGAAGGTGGGGGGTGGGGACATGGTCAAGTGGGTACAAGTTTTCATTTATAAAATGAACAAGTTCTGGAGACCTAATGTCTAGCATGGTGACTATAGTTAATAATAACATCTTATGTACTGGAAATTTACTAAGATATGGCTCTCAGGCCTCACCACTCCCCCCAAAAAAAGGGTAACTGTAAGGTGATGGATGTGTTGGTGAGCTTGAGTGTGGTAAGCATTTCACAATGTATATATATATCAAAATGCACAGGGGGTATAGCTCAGCGGAAGAGCGCATGCTTAGCATGCACAAGGTCCTGGGTTCAATCCCCAGTACCTCCACTGAAAAAACAGATAAACCTAGCTACCTACCCCCAAAAGAACCATCACGTTTTGCAACCTAAATAATGCAACTTTTATTTGTCAACCATATCGCAATAGAACTGGGAATAAAATTATAGTGAGGCCCTGGGACTCTAGAGAGACATGGGACCTGGCCCCTGGCCTCAAAGAGTTTCTCTATCTTCTCATATGCACACCCACTTTGCAATCTAGAAAGCACTTGTATGTACTTTATCTTGTTCAAAAGTCCAGGGAGCCATCAGGCTGGTTGGTACCACCTCTGCTGTGGCCCCGAGAGGCCCATCATTCGGGACCGGATGCTCACTGCTGTGTGGCGGTGCTGAGCCCCTGCCCCTCCACTCCTTGGCCTCATCCTACTTGTGACCTCTAGAACAGGCTGTGCTCCACCCTGTGGGTGTGGCCTGGCCAGGTGTGGCTCTGCTCTCAGGCCTGGAATCTGGTCAGAGCCCAGGAAGGGGAGTGGCCCTCCAGTCTTCCTAAAGCAGCCTCAGGTTTCCAGCACGCTCCAGGGCTGAGCTGAACCAGGTGGGTCTCAGTTTCCATTTGATCCCTCAGGGAGGGTGTGGGGAGACCCAGCTCCTCTCCTTCTCCGAGGATTCTGCCCCCAACCCCCCAGCTGTGTGAGGGGTGGTGGTCTGGAGTCGGGTGGCTCTGGTGGGTTTGGGCTAGTGGCTAGAGGCTACCCTTTTAGGCTTAGTTTCCTCACCTGTAAGATATGGACACGGGGGTAATAATGGTTCCCAGCACTTGAGCCTGCTTTGTGCCAAGCAGGTTAGTGCCATGATGGCACTTATGCAGAGACTGAATGGCCTGCTTACAGGCTTTGAGAGCAGTGGGGCACATGGGACCGGCAGCCTGGAGAGAGGAAGGGGCCCAGAGATTAAAGGACTCTGGGGCAAGGGAAGGGGTGAGCACAGCATTGCTTCCTCCACCCCAACCCTGAGGGCCTCCTGGGACTGAGTTTACCTGGTTCCCACCTGCCTGCCCTTGCTTTTGAAGATAAAAGTAGAATTTCCAGGCAGCCAGACTTAAGAGAAGGTATGTCTCACCCCTGCTCAAACTGGTTCTCAGCCAGGCAAACAGGAGAGACTGGGAAGGACTTCTGAGCCTGCTAAGCCCTCTGGAGAGGCCATGGTGGCAGGGGATGATGATGGGGCGGGGTGGGGGGAAGGAGTGCTGCGATCCCCACTGCCCAGGTGGGATGGACTGCTCAGGGACCACTCCCCCTCCATCTCTTTCTCCATGCCATCTGGAAGGCAGGAGAGCCTGGAGGCAATCGATGGAGGGTCTCCCAAGTGCCAGGCTCTGTCTCAGAAGTTCTGTGGGCTGGGTGATCTGATGTCCAGGGTTGTGGTCCCCTGTGCAGCACCCCTGCCAGGCTCTGGAGTCAGAAGAGCCCATGACCAGTCTCTGCTCTGCCTTTTACTGGCCACCTGCCTTCGGGTGAATCTTTCCGTGTTCCCTAAGTTTCCTTGTACTCAACTGTAAAATGAGGGCTTCTGCTTCAGGGTGGACTTGAGAATTAAAGGACCTCCCAAGGACTAGGCCTGGCACACAGTAGGTGCACAGGAAATGGCAGCCATGGGTTTCTGAAAAGGGAATTTCGCGCTTCTGGGAGGGCAATTCTTGGGCAGCCCTGTGCTATAGGCAGCCCTTTGGCTCGGGGAACGCCTCTCCTACTGGCGCTGTCCCATTAGCAGACAAATGAGCTCTAACATCTCCTCACCTCTGGGCAAATAAAACTCCTCCCTTGTCCTCCTGCCCCCTCCCAGATACTCCGTTGTTTCTTTGTTCCCTGTTTCCCCCTAAGACTCTGAAAGAGTTGTCTGTGGTCCTTGCTTCCACTTCTTTCCTCTCATCCTTTCTCTGATCCCCTTGAATGAGCTCTTCTCTCTGCCTTT